AGAAAGATAAATATTTACTCTCAGAGCCCAGCGGAAATCAGGGCGTTGGGGTCGTTCAAGATACGAAATTGCTCAGAATATTTCCAAACCAAGCTGATTTGGGACCTTGGATACAGTGAAATCACTGGAAAATGCAGGGTCGATGAACTGCTTAGGCAGAGTACCATCGATGCTATCCCTTTTGGTTAGGAGGAATTTGCGGCCTTCTTCCGGACAGTTGGGCTTATAGACGTCTCAAAGAGCGCTCGAGAAAAAACCGACATGCAAACTTGCAAAGTCCCTCCGGCCGATTGCCATCGGAGCTTCTGTAGCTGGCTAAGCACTAGTTCTTGATTCTTGCAGTAGTACTAACCGGAGACTGTTCTTTAGGAACTAACATCTCAGCGACTAACATCTCAGCACTCAGACATCAGCTGCCTGTGAAACTGTGTTTTGAGCATCCACCGTTTACCTGTAGTTACCGAAAACGAAAATTTAATTAATGTCGAAGTGAGCACCTCTCGGAGCTGTTTCCATAACCTAACTTAACTTACTTGTAAAATAATTACCAATAAATGTAATGAAAGAGGCTTGCGGTTAAATGGTGGCAGTTTCACTTCTTTTACGAGGTGCTAATGGAAAGAAGACATAAACTAATCAGGAGTATCACTTTACACATTGCACAAGCAGACGCACTCAAATTATTCATTCAACATTTATGTACTTGGTTACAAAACAAAAAAAAAGAAAACCAAAAAGTAAGTGACAACATGATAACACCGTTGGGCAAGCAAAAAGAAATGAAAAAATGAAACTAAAGATCAGCCTTGCACTTAAGCGCATTTTGGTTATCATAATTAAATGATTAAACACGCGTAAAGATGTTTTCATACACAAATTGGATGTTGATGATTTTAATATTTTCTTTATTTTTCTTTTTGTTGTTGTTACTTCGTCGCATTTGTAACGGTTTCGTGAGCCGAAGAAATTTCGAAAACTTGTTGCACTTGCCGGCTGTCAGTTTCCACGCTTGAGTCTCAATTAATATTATAGTATGTGCATTAGGGTGGTCCCAAAAAGAAAACATACGAAAATCAACTTTTTGGAAATTTCCCGGTGCCTCCTCGAGAAATTTGCAGAATATCAAAAAAAAAAAAAATTCCAGTATTTTTTATTTTGAAATCGTTTAATATTTATTTGAAGGTGAAATAAAGAGACCAATATTTTTTATATTGATATTTATTCGAAGTTTTAAATATATTTTACATGGGGAAAATGGATTTTTCCGTACAACTGCCATAAAATCGTGTTAGAAATAAATATTCTTTGATCGAATGAGAAAATTTCCCTTTAAAATTCTTAAAAAAAAATTCAAAGTTGTTTTACTTTAAATTTTTACAAACTATTTTTTTATAACGTGCCTGATGTGGGTACGAACACATACAAAAGCACATTTTTTATATTTACAAGAGATAAGATTAGCAAAATTTTAAAGTTAAATAAGCATTATAGCTTAATTTTTTTAAGAAAAAATATATTTTCCCCATATAAAATATACGGAAGGAAACATTCAAAACCCCATCACACAGTGGTTCAAAACTGACATTTACTGCAGCCTTCATTTTCACTCTTGTTTGATTTGATTTTTATAATGAAGGCTTATAAAATTTGCAAGTTGTTCCCGATTTTTGAATTTTTATTTGAATGTATTAAATTTTTTAGTGCAAGGTGCAGAAAAAGTAGCAACTTAATAAATGTTACATAATTAACACTGGTTAAAAACAATAACAGGGTTCCCGCAAAATGGAAAGAAATTTCATAAACAAATTTGAATTTTTATAAAAAAAATTTCAGCAAAAAAAATTCTTTTTATAGTTTTTAGAAAAATATGGGTATGCAGTTTAATTAATCATTAAAATTTGGTGTAATAAAGTGCAAGTTGCAAGCGTTTAAGAGTTTTTGTTGATTTTTAATTTAAAACTAAAATTCAATGGTATATAAAACTGTATACCGAAATTTTTTCTAAAGCACAAAACAATTTTTTTCTAATTGCGAAAATTTTTTTATAAAATTTAAAAATTTTCTTGTGAAATATTTTTTAGTTTTTGGAGAATCCTACAATTGTTTTCAACTAGTTTTTATTATGTAGCATTTAATAACTGGAACAGGAGAATTCCGTCCCGCAAATTTTCTGAGAAAATAACTTTTTTTTATTTTTCTTAGTGTTATGGCGTATTGCCAGCGTTAACTTAGAGTTTTCATTTCTTTCTGATTTACTTAGTCATTAGGGGTATTTTTAATTAATACTGTTGCTTTTTAAGTAAAAATTTAGTTTGAAATTAGAATTTTTTTTTCATGAACATTTTTAAAACTTACTTTTTTATTTTTCTTAGTATTATGACATATTACTAGCGTTAACTTCGCAATTCCCTAAGACTTTCTGTCTTAGGGGTAGCTTTAATTACTACTGTTAATTTTGTTAAGTAAAAGTTAAATTTTAGTTTGATGAATTTACCAAACATTTTAAAGAAATAACATAACTATTGAAAGGGGAAAAAGTTGAATTTCGCAGGCCTGTGATAATGATCGATTTCAAAATAAAAAATACGATTTTCTTTATTTTCGACTTTTTTCCGTTCTGAAAAAAAAGACGGTGAGTCACCCTAATGTACGAAGTACCAAAAATATATATATAAACATAATTAGTTGCATGACTATCACTGCATGGCGGTGCATTTCAGTAAATATATATAATTCATTTTAACTACTGACCGCCTCTCAATGTCACGCTTCAACGCATGTACATACATACATACATACATACATGCCAAGCACTGCCATTGGAAGCAGCAGCAGTGAAATGCACATTTAGCTCTAATCATTTAACCATAACGAATTCCTATCAACTTATTAAGTTCAACGCAGCCAAAGAGTACTAAGTGCTTGGCTTAAATATATACATACATATATGTATGTACGCAACTTCCCACCAATACATGTACTCCGCATTAATTTCTCTTTTTCTAGCGGTATTTTTATGATTTTCATTTATTTACTTACTTTTCATTCACTAAACAAAGAAAATATATAAGTGTACACATGCACGTACCTACATACATACATACATGACTACTTGTACTTGTAAGTTAAGAATGCCACCACCTTGCCACCCTGTTGGGGTTAAGTGTCAGTTGCGCTTGCGCAAAAGGTGTTTTGTAGAATTAGTTCAACGCCAGCTTATTTTTTGTTTGTTAATTACTCGCAATTACTTGCCTGCTCTTTTCTTCATCGTTGCTCTTATGTCAGTATAAATATTTGTTTTACTTTTCATTTTCTTTCACCTTTTGATCTTCGAAATTAATGCCAAAAAAAAAGGGAACCTGCATTCATTATCGTATTTCCATTTGTATTTGACAATTAAGTGCCTCACTTAATGAATTTCACAATGAACTCATACGCTGTTAATTAATTCTTATTCTTTAAAAAGTTTATGCCTTTAATTATGCTTTAGAGGTGAAAGGTGCGCAGTGTTAATTGGTTGAAGAAGAGAATAATAAAAAAATTCTTTCGGGGAAAATGAAACTGAAAGGCTTTATTTGTACAGACATTTCTAAAATGCCATTGTTAAAGTGACTGACTCAGATAAGGGCTCACTCTTGATGCTTTTATTAATTTTTTAATTTAAGAAATATTTGCATACATGTGGGGAAGCAATGAATGGTTAATTTATACCACTTTGGGAAATTCGATAATTATTTATTATCAGAGACCTTACCCAGCGTCTTCATATTTTGAAATGTGAAAAAAAAAAGTTTAAGTAAAGTATAGGTTTTAACATTATTTCCGCTTTAAAGAGAAAAAAGTAATTTTTCTGATAAAAAAAAAAAAAAAAAAAAAAAAAAAAAAATTGTGTGTGGATCCCACGCGCGACTAAAATGAAAATTCTTCCGCTCTGGGTATAGCTCACCACATTACATATATTTATGAGTATTTTTCTGCTTAACCATTAACAATTATCTAAATCTTTATCTCAATATCGATCTCAATCTCAGTCTGAATCCCAATCTTAATCGTAATCTTAGTCATAGTCTTTATCTTAATCTCAATCTTGAACTTAAATTTAAGCTTAATCCTAAGCTTAATTTTAATCGTAATCTTTATCTAAAGCTTAATTTTAATGAAAGTATTAATCTTAATATTAACTTTATTCTCACTTAATCTTAGTCTTTCTCTTAATTTGTAATCTTAATTTTAATCTCAACCTCTTAATCTTCATGTTATTGTTGTTGTAACAGCATACAAATTCCCCAAAGAGTTTTTGGGGAATGATGCTGGAGCGCCAGTCCTTGGCCAGATATGAAACTGGGTCGTTCCGGTTAGGTAGACCCGTCGAGAGACTTCATCTTATTTATTTATTTATTAACAAAAGGTAAAATATATAATATTAAACCTTGGTTGCAATAGAGTGCTGGCTTCCAGGGCCATTGATCTTCTTGAAATAGTGGTAATGATTTAACTCTACTTTAAAATAGATAGGTTAACGTCCCTTAGAGCTGCATACTGATTTAAAACTTTTGATAGAAGAAAATTTCGTTTCCCTTTCTTGTGCATCATTTTATATGAATTTTTGGTTTTTCTTGAGAGCTGCAGACAACCTTTAAGTTGAGAATTTCTTCAAAATCCTGGGGTCAAATAAAAACTGGAACTAATTAGTTGATGTATTAGAGGTTTTTAATATTCTATTAGGCCTTTAGTGAGTAATCTACCGACCTTTGTATAAGGCGGAAAATGAGTTAGGGCCTTTCGATATTAAGCTAAGGATATGCAGGTTTATTTATGTATATGCATATCTCTTTTTTTGTTTGCAATTTAATAAACTTATATTTTCATTTATAATTTACAGTTTTCACGCTACAAATACTACAACAAAAGGAATATCCAAAACACAAACATCAAGTTGCAGCTTACCCATATCGGCAGCAAAAAAAAAAACGACAATTACAACTACAACAACTCGAACAACCGTCACACACATTAAACGAACAGTAGCACAACAACACTATGCGAAAGATGCGGATCAAAAAGATTTGGTTGACTGTTACGGTTTTCCTTTCACTGCAGGTGAGTGTCAAATCAAAACAAAAGAAATCAATACATCGATAGCTCAGCCAGGCATACAGTCAGTCAGTCAAACAGATTGACATTCAATCAATCTAACTGTCAATCGAGCTTATCGAGCTAAAAGCCGATCAGTCATTGATGCCATGTACATACATATGTATGTATGCCATTTGTGGGAATAATATTAGCGAATATAATACTTTGAAAACATTTTATTTCTAAGTTATTGCTTTGATTGTTAAATTGTTAAATTTTTTTTGCGCATTTGTCATTTTTACAACGCCTTTACGTTGCAAGACAATGCATCAGTGTTGGTCAGTGGGCATGTAATCATGAATTGAAAGTGAGTGTGAGAAAATGGTGTTGTGATGGGAAAAGTTTATACCGCAAACACTAGTAACGGGTGATTTTTTTGAGGTTAGGATTTTCATGCATTAGTATTTGACAGATCACGTGGGATTTCAGACATGGTGTCAAAGAGAAAGATGCTCAGTATGCTTTGACATTTCATCATGAATAGACTTACTAACGAGCAACGCTTGCAAATCATTGAATTTTATTACCAAAATCAGTGTTCGGTTCG